TTTGATCTCCAAGCCCATAGTTTTAATTTTTTTTAATTTTTTGAATATTCTATTTATTTATTTATTTGACAGAGAGAGAGAGAGAGAGAGAGACAGTGAGAGCAGGAACACAAGAGGGGAAGTGGGAGAGGGAGAAGCAGGCTTCCTGCTGAGCAGGGAGCCCGATGTGGGGCTCGATTCCAGGACCCGGCGATCATGACCTGAGCTGAAGGCAGACGCTTAACACTGAGCCACCCAGGCGCCCTAAGCCCATAGCTTTAATTTTTTCCCTACCATATAGTTAGACCTGATAAATTCCTCTATAAATACCCGTGGAGCATCACAGCGAGGAACTTCAAGTATGTCTTCTTTCATGTCTTCTATAAGGTATGAACCCACATTTTAAGCTCTGACTACTGAAAACTGCCATAACATTTCAGCCAGGAATATATCGGTGCACAATTCCTTAATGCTTGCAAGAGGGTTATGACAATATCCTGTAATGATTTATCCTTAATTATAACTATAGATTTCTAGTCTTATACAGAAAAATCCTACCTGCTGGTTTAGTTTCTTAAGTGGAATATTACACTTTAAATTATCCTATTACAAACCCTAAACTTTAATGTGGGTATGAGAAAGTCAGAGACTCAAAAATTACATTGCAAAGGGAGTCTCCTTTTCCTACCCTTCAAAATCTCTTTTTCAAGAAGAGTAAACTGCAGCATCAAAATGAGGAAGAAAGATGGCTAACTTCTAAATAAATTTCAAGGAGCAGTGTCAACCGAGGCAGAGAGTCAGGCAGCTGCCAAAAAGCAAGAGTAATAGCTTCTTTTGGTATACATACTAATACTAAATCAAATGCTAACTCAAACTAACTTCAAATGATTTAAGAGAATTTGTCAGGTCCCTTTGACCAATGAGTCTGAAAGATTTTAATTTATTATTTTCTTTAGTTCGTGGTCTTATTAAATAACTTAAGCTATTAAAATGCATCAATTCTAGGCACTTAACCAAGAGACAGCCTGTGCAAAGTTTAAGTCAAAAACCGGGGGCTTGAATCTCCAGTCCAACTCAAGAGGTGTTTTGCTTGGATCATACAGGATTTTATTTTAACGTGCGAGCCAACATTTTAAAAAGATGGGGGAAAAAAATCACATTTAAAACATCCAGATTTTGAGCTTCTCTCAAAAAAATAAAAAAGAGATTTGGCAGCAACAGGCTCACGTTTCCATATGGCCATAATCTGCTGAAGCTGTGTGTCAACTGCCCCTTTAGACGGGTGTGGTCGCTGGCCCACAGTTAGCCACAGTCCACCTCACTCCTGTATTTACCTTCCCCATCCCCGGAGACATCGGAGTTTGTGATCCCTACCTGAGATCCCTCTTGACAAGGTGAGTACAGGAATTAAAGAGGAAAAAAAAAAAAGAGGGAATGAAAAAATAAGACACAGCTCATATCACTTGGGAAAAACATCAATGTTAACAGACAGCAAAAAAAGTGTCTCTCCATTTAGTTTTGCCACAGTACTTTGGGACACTAGATAGAAACTGGCGTGTGACAGAGAAAAATTTTAAAGTGATGTAAATCCTTCGGCATAAATGTTATTCAAATGAAGCACTTTTAGTATTCTGGCCCAAGGTTAAATTCTAGGTGAGTATTTCAAAAGAACTCTTCTGTCTGATGTCAGTTACAAAATAGCTCTTCAAATTCCTCTACCACTTATAATATTTATGCTGAGTTTATCCAGGAGAAAAAGAGGACACAGCTTCCTTAGTTTGGTTCTCTAATACCGCAGCATATTCTTTCCAGTAATTAGACTCTTCTCTTTCTCTCTCAATAACTGTGGCTCATCTCATGCTCAAAAGCCAAAAAAAAATACTTGACCAGAATCAGAAATATGGTTACAATATGTGAAATAAGGAAATCAGGTCTTCTCCAATAGTGCAGGTTATTCTCGGTGCTCCTCTACCAAGTTAGCTTTCAACAGTTTCAGATTTTTGCCCACCAGGTGGCGAGATAGCAAGTTCAAGGTTTTGTCTCAAGGAGCACCCTTTTTTAAAAGGGAAATTTTCAGGGAGCCTGGGTGGCTCAGTCGTTAAGTGCATCGGGCTCCCTGTTGGGCGGGAAGACTGCTTCTCCCTCTCCCACTCCCCCTGCTTGTGTTCCCTCTCTCGCTGTCTCTCTATCAAATAAATAAATGAAATCTTAAAAAAAATAAAAGGGAGATTTTCTAGGCATCTTAGGAAATAACTTTCAGGCTCCCCCTTGCCACCCCATCCTTCCCGCCCTCTGCTTCTTCCAGTTCAATTCACCCTTCTCCCTAATAAACGATGGCACTTCTTTTGTAAGCCAGTTATCCTGTTGTATTTTACAAAGAATGGGAGGCAAAGGAAAACTGCCAAGGACTCTGCCCGAGGTCATAGAAGAAAAGGCAAAAATAAGGACACGGGACTTCCTAAGACTTGGCCCAGGGTTTGGGAGCCAGGAAACAGTGACCTTTGAACATCACCTCTGGTATGCCAAAATTATTTGTGGCAGAATATAAAGGGTATAAATTTAAAAGGAGGAAGTAAGGGAAGCCAAGGCTTACATGTTCCACAGGGAAAGAAAACAAAGTCCTAAAATTTCTGAGGGAAATGTAGACAACTAGGTCTGATGTGGTCCAGTGGGTATATACGGGAGAGAGAAAGAAAAGGGGAAGGAGGGATAGCAATGGGTAGGAGGAAAGGCAGCTGAGAATAAGAATGCAAAATGAGAAGGGGAAGGGACCTTTTCATAAGCAGATGTGTGGTCAGATCAAGGAAGTCATTCACATACACACAGAAGACTCAGATTTTGTGTCCAGAAAATACTTCCTACCATGAAGACATATGGACACCATATCCCCAGTTAAGGAAATAGAGACACAAAGAAGATCCATAAAACAGAAGAAAAAACGTGCAGTTATACATACTTCCCCCTTCCCTCACATGAAGGGGCTCACACGCACTCGAGAAGAGACATGTGTGCCCAAGAGGCAGCCCGGCAAAATGGTTAAAAGCAGAAACTCTGGAACTATACTAGACTTACTGCATGGGTTTGAATTCAAATCCTACCGCTCACTAGTTGGCTGACCTTGAGCAAGTTACTTAAACTGTCTGTGGCTGTTTTCTCTTCTGTAAAACGATGTTAAAGAATTACGTGAATTAAGTAAAACATTGAGAATAGTGTCTGGCACACAGCAAGTGCTGTGGAAGTTAAATAAAACAAATAACACATATTCAAAGGAATGCACAGAGGACACACAGATGCTCAGATGCCGAAACAGAGTATAAGAAGGAAGCATATTCTCTTAGCTACACCTACATATTCTTTTTTTTAAAGAAGATTTATTATTTTAGAGAGAGAGAGAGAATGCATGCATGCGTGTACAGGACGGCGGGGCAGAGGGAGAGGGAGAAGCAGACTTCCCGCTGAGTGCAGAGCCTGACCGGGGCTTGATTCCCAGGACCCTGAGATCATGACCTGAGCCGAAGTCAAGAGTAGGAAGCTTGACTGACTGAGTCACCCAGTCGCCCCTACACATACATATTCACAAATACTAAGACATTCCAAAGTTCAGATAACGAGACAGCTAACAAATCACTGACCTAGAGGGAAAGAGAACTCGGTGGCAAGGTGGCTGGAAAAGAGTGGACGTGGGTAGGCACGTATGGGACACCCACTACCTAAAAAGCCAATGACAAGTTTTTACTCCAGACTCTGGATGCGAGGCCTGCAAGGCTGGGACCACTGTGGTGCTGGGAGGTAGGGCAGTGGTTGGGAGGCTCAGAGAAACTGCAGTAAGCTAAGACTGGCCGGTGTCCTCCACTGCCAATTAAATATGAGAGCATGGAAGAAGAATCAAGCTGCCTCCTTCCCTCCGCCATTATATTTCTACTTCTGTCACCTCTTACAACCTGGCTTTTGTCCCTAGTACTCTACGGACACTAATCTCTCTAGGATTTCCACAACCATTTTACGGGATGATATTTCTGCAGCATCTGATACCACTGACAGGCCCAGCTTTGGGGAAACTTCCTTTTTCCCTTCGCTTCCACTCAGCTCTCCTCTTACCTTTCTAAGGATGACTTCACAGCCTCTTTTTACAGTTCTTACCAATTGTTGTCAATTCTGTCGTAGAAATTTCTTTTAAGTCAGACTCTTCATGCTCACTGCTACCGCCCCAGTTCAGGCTTTTGTTCTCCCCCACTGGGTTGCTCACAGTCCTACCCCTGGTCTTCTGCCCCTGTCTCTGCACCCCCATCCCTCCCCCGCGCTGCTTCCAGAGTTACTTTCCCCCAAACAAATGTGATCACATCACTCTCCTCCTTATAAACCACAGAGGGACTCCCCACCCTCCATATGATAAAACTCAAACTTTACACAACAGATTCTTCATTATCTTGCTCCAATGGACCTCTCTAGTTTCAACTTCAACTCTCCTCTCTGCTTTCCCACTCTAATCCACCCTGCACTCCTCCCTGGTCCCCAGATATACTATATCCCATCATGCTGCGTCTGGATGCACTTACTGACCTTTCCTATCAGGAAGAGTCCTTTTCTTCCTCTAAGACCCACTTTCATTGTCATCTCAAAGGAATGTCCTCCTCAGCTTCCCTACACAGAAAGTTCTTCATTTTCTGAGTGTCTACAGCACCGTGACAGGCACCTCTTACAATACACGCCATCCAAGACTGTAATTTACCTGTTAATGATCTGATTTCCCATCAACCCCTGAGCACCTCAAAGACAGTGCCAACTGTTTTACTAATTTTTAAAAAAAACTCAGACCCAGCACAGTACCCACAGGCAACATGGCATGGTTGCCTCTCATGGTATGTTGGCTGAATCAAACATAACCCTTCCCTAAAACAGGGAAAAGAGAATCTACAGTTATAACAGTATAAATGTTAAGCGTAACATAAGAAAACAAACGAGACTGTTTTGCAAAGCCTAAGGGTCTACTGTCAAGAGGAATAAACAGGCCAATTGCTCACCGCTGAATATCCTTGTTCTTCCACAAGGAGGCAGACTGAGCCTTGGGTACTCTTTCAATGAAATTCACCAGCTCTTCCATGAGAAGCCTGAGTTTAAAGAAAAAAGTGGTGAACAGTCATTAAAGAAAGAAAAACACCATACAGTTAACATTGCAGCCAAGACAAGTGGGCTTGCCTGCCTTCCCTCCACCTCAATCATCTTTCTCTCTGTTGCATATAAACTTGGACACCCTTTTACATAAACCTGAACAAAACCCCAATCATCTCATTGAATTTCAACAATGTTAAACATTTCGAACATAAATGATTTAATTCACCTTTAAAACAAGCCTGGCATGCATCTTAGCTTTCAACACTGAAATATACAAGCCTGTGGTTTAACTATCACTCTTAAGATCTCTGCCTTTATATAACTAAAAATCTAAAAGGAGAAAAAATCAAATGACTGTGAAGTACCTGATTTTGGTGGCAGCAGGGGTGGGGTCGGATTTTTTTTTTTTTAAGATTTTTATTTATTTACTTGAGAGAGCATGAGAGAATGAGAGTACAAGCAGGGTGGAGGGAGAGAAAGAGAAGCAGATTCCCTGTGGAGCAGGGAGCCTGATGTGGGACTTGATCCCAAGATCCTGGGATCATGACCTGAGCCTTACAGCTTAACCGACTGGTGCTTAACCAACTGAGCCACACAGGCAACCAGGATTGTTTTTTTTTTTTTTTTTAATGACAATATTAAATGGACATTTTAAACTGGAAAAGTACGTTTTTTTCACACGTTTTGTGAACTTACAAAATTCCATGTGGAAAAATATTCTAAGGATTAATCCTAAAAGCCTAACTCAAGAATCTGCAAAAGGACAGGTTCTGTGTGCAGATCACAAGATGGACTGTGATGGAATCACAACTGAGGGAACCTCACTTGAGTGATCAATGATGCACGTGCTCTGAGGAATACCTGGCACAAAGAACTGTTAAGAGTCCTGCATGGCTAGAGGATGACCAAAAAGTGATAAACAGATTTTTAACCTCTTGAATCTCCTTTCAGAATCCAGTATGGATGATCCATATTGACTTAAATCCTCTCCCAATGAACAAAGAGATATGGCAAGCCATCAATTTACTGGCATTTGAATGTTGAACAACTTCATTTCATTTCCATTGGATTTATTTATTCCTAATCCCATGTCCTCCCTTCATCTTGAAGGAGCAGCACTAGTTCCAACATTCAAAGATCTGGGAGCTAGGCACGTTAGTGTTCTGGCTGTAGCTCTCTGGAGAGCAGTCTGGTGTGTCCTTCCTCACACTGTAACTTTTGCAGACTAGAGTCTCAGGTTTTCGGCTTATCCTCTCGTTGCAACTGATCCGTCGCCTTGTGTTTCACTTCCCTGTAATGTCTCTTCCTCAGATACCCAATGTTTCTCTGTACACATTACATGCTCTTTAATGGGAGCTGACATAAAAACCAGGGCATATTTTGTTTCATCTCTGGTAATTCCATCTTGGTGTACTTCTGCAAGACAATGGAACCCAAAGCCAAGAGTCCATATCAACACCTTGATCCCCTCTTTTGAGTCTCGATAGCTTCACCTTTCACCACACTTGTTAGTTTGCTTCAACTCTTTTTTCTGGGGTAGGTATTTGTATTTTTTTTTTTTAAAGATTTTATTTATTTGACAGAGAGAGAGAGAGAGCACAAGCAGGGGGAGCGGGAAAGGGAGAAGCAGACTCCCTGATGCAGGGGCTCAATCCCAGGACCCTGCTGAAGGCAGATGCTTGATGACTGAGCCACCCAGGTGTCCCCGTAATTTTCTTCGAGTAACTTTTCTCTCACTGAATGACACTAGGGGTACTTGAAGCAACCACCTGTGTCATGAAGGCTTGGGAGGGGCAGAGGGAGAGATGGCAGAGTGTTCTCAGAGTCAAAGGAAGGCTCCTTTGACTCCTTAGAGCTCTGAGTTGCACTCTGTCAAAAGTACAGTCAACTCAACCATCTAATTACTTATCCTGTTTTCTGCGAGCTGTCTCCATTTATAGTCTGCCACTAAATCATAACGGGGGGAAATTCTGAAAGCAAAGTAATAAAATTTCTTCTTTCCTTAAATGTGCTATGCTCCTTTCTCCTGAAGCTCTTTGCCTTCCAACTCTGTGGCATCTTACTCAGCGTTACCTTCCCTAATTAATATCATCTGCACAGAGGAGCTGTCTCTGCGAACACCTTCCCCCAGTCTTTGTTTCAAAAACAACAAGAAAGACTAAGAGTACTCGCCGCATTAATCTCGAGGCAATTCCGATGAACACTTGTTTTTATTTAGAGAGTTGTCTATTCATGCTAATTCTTTGGCTAGCTGCTCAGGAGGAGACAAGAATCACTCCTGGCACAACACCCTATTACATGGTCACCACTGAAGGAAGGAGTGCTTCAGCCACTTCCTCCTGGGGTAAGAATAACTGCTCTCACCTGCCGATCTGAACGGTGGGCTCTGTGGCGTACACTGTGCCTGAGAAACCGGTGTGCTCAGTGATGTAGGGCAGCGCCATCATGCAGTGGTAGTTAGAGATGAGGATCACATCTACCGTAGACAGATCTATTAGCTCGGTCTGCAAAGAAAGGGGAGGGAATGATACATATCTGTTCAGGGCACACAGATCAGCATGATGTGACTGAAAAATGATGCTGTCAGAATGCAGAGAAGTCGTTTTTGTACTATAGAATAATGACACCTTTCCTGCAACACTTCCATTCTCTCATTTTAGGAGGTTTCCTAATACTGACATTAAGTAGCAGGACAGGATGGCTAACGGCGAGAATGCAGGAGTGCACCGGCAGTGCTCCGATTTTACTCAAATAGAGTTCTGAGTTTGACATACGAGGGTAAATGGCAACAGGGACACTTCAGCAGCTGCTGCCTGACAAGTGCAACCAGTTACCAGGAAGCAGAGAGCGCACAACAGAAGCTGTGAGGGAATCAGAATACAAGGCACCACTGCTACGGATTTACTGGTAACAGAGGGAGCGGCGTGCCGAAACCCGCTCTTCACGTGTCAAATGCAGAAGGCAACTTTTTTTCTTTTTTTGAGGTAATTTTTGACCGCTAGTGCTGGATACAGAACAACAAAAACAAAAAATTTATTGGAAGAATCACAAAAGGAAATTATACTCTCATATTCTGCCCTAGCCTTAACCTCAGATCTACCTTTTACTTCATTATTAAGGTCATGTGAAAAGGGAAAATGCCACTCATGTTTAGGAAATTTTATGAAAACCCTTTTCATAGAAGGAATTGTCTTTCCCATATATTTGTCCTACCTGTCTTTTAAGGCTCCATTCTCTTCTTCCATTAAGCCTTCCTGATTTGCCCAGATGAAAAAACAGAAAACAAAAAACAAACAAAAACCCAACATTTCTTCCTCAGAACTGCAAAGGCACTTTATGGATGTCCCTCTTAGGACAGTTACCATTCCATGCAATAGCTCCTCAAAGCACCACTCTGTCCCTCCAGTACTAAATGTCTCTGAGGTTAACAATCCTGTGTGACTTATCTCTGTCCCCTCCCAGCTATGGTGGCCAGTGCAAAGCAAGCCTTGGTGCACTATGGTTGGAGCGATGCAACATTATAACTGGCACCCTCTGTGGGAAAACGTGAGTCGCCCTGGCTCAGAGACATCATCTCAATCACTGAAGTTCCCTCTGAGAAACTGTATGGTGCACTAAGGACAGCAAGGGGTAAGTCAAGGAAGTGTTTTAGTTAGGAGAATGGGTTATTGAGCTAATATGTCTCCCACAGAGAAGAAGTAAAAAAGATGTCTGTGCCATCTTTGCAAATAAGAGAGACAGTGTGCCATTTGGGCTGTGGGCATTTTCTAGCTCAATGACTTTATATATGAAATAAGTTAATTTAATAAAGCCACCAAGACATAATCAGCTCCTGAGGACAGCATGTAGATTAGAGGTCAGAAGCTACTCATTGCTAGGGCAATGGCAATCTGTGTAAATAAAATGCCTAATGACAGTAATAGCCAATTTACACCACCCTTAACTCCATGTTGTACACGGCATTTCCAAGACAATACCCTCATAATGAAGGGTCATGTAACATTCCACTAGTACTGTTCCCTACGACACCTCTAGAACCATTTTCAAACAAGTAAGAAAATTAAGACATAATCAAAGGGTGACAGATCCAGAAAACAAGGGAACAAGAGTTGAAGCAACAAGAAAGCTCAAAAGCATCTCTACTTTCCCTCTTGAGTATAGAAACCGGGTGAGTTTGAAATTTCTCTTTAATATGTAAGAATCAGCCCACAGAGTCTAGAATGATGAGAAATCTGGTGAGGACAGCTGGAAGAAAAAAAATATATATATACATATACATATACATATATATATATATTCTGTCTGTATATATATCAAGAGCGCCTACATAAACATTTTTTCTCTGAGAAATAAATTTAACATCCAATCCAGGTTTATATACTCACATTTATATATTTGCTTACATTCTTTCACTTGATGAAATCCAATGAGGATTAATTTTCAACTTGTACACAGACACACTTGGGTTCTACAGACCATGAATTGGGTCAAACACTCATAATTTACTGGCTGCTTACTATACTGCCATAGACCTCATACTCAGTCTACAGTGTGGACTTTGGGGGTACAAAAATATTTCAGGTAGTTGCACTAGATTATAAATTCTGTGAAGACTGGGAGCAGGTCCTCCTGGCTCTCCTGATCCTGTGACTCTCTTATTTTCTCCCAGTCATACAATGCCCTACCTCTACCTTAAAATAGTGACTATTATTAGTTTGACACAAACTACAAGACAAAACAAGTGGAAAAACTTTATACAGCTCTAGAAGCCTAAATATATCAATAATCCTTTAGCTCAGCAAAAGATGAACTGTGAAATGGTAACTGTTTAATTCCAAGTCTTGACTGTTTAGTGCTCTATGGAGCAGGTCAGAAAGTCATTAGAGCACAATTCATAAATTCTACACTGTTGTCCGTAAACTGAAGGTTGCAGCAGTCAATGCCATATGTAGAAAACTGAAAATAAACGTAGCACTTGGGATTAGGAATCTCTGAACAGATGGGGACCTGCCCCACCAATTCCTAAATGACAAATGAAGGTGACAAAAGATTTGAACAGCAGTTAGGAAGAGTTCAGGACTCCTGGTAACTCTTTACCTTCACCCTTATTCTTACTACTTTATCTCAAACTTGTTCCCTTAACTGCCACCTTCAATTACTATGTCTTCTTCTCTTTCATTCCACTATCCCAAAAGGGCACCTACACATACTTCAAAGAAAAAAAGTTTATCTACAAAGTATCAAAGAAAGTGTTGAGATGGAAAGAGAGGCAGGAAGAGAGTACAAAAATAAGGGAAAAAGTATTCCAAATTTTCTTTTGGCATTGAACTGTGAAAGTATCTCCCGCATGCACTGTAATCCACTGGGTGCATGGAAAGAACAGGATGGTAGCCTCTCCTGTTGATTTCCTCAGGAACCTGGGACTAGCTACTGGCCTCCCTATACTTTATCTGGCTTTTGAGAATGCCATCTATACCGGTCTAGAGATCAGGATTGTCAGCTGAGATTAGCTGCCTTAAAATGAATGGAAATTGATCCTCATTTCCTTTAAAATGATAAAACTGGCTCCAAACTCTTATAACAAGTCTCACTGGGATAATAATATGTAAGCAATAGGTATCCATGGCTCAATTCAGAATCTGTGAATTTCAAGCAGTATTTGATGATATTTAAAGTCAGCAAGAATTTTTACAGTTTATTGTATTGGCTGAATAACAGCAATTCCCAATTACCCACTGTAAACAAGACCACAAAAAGTATGGCTAATCTGACACAGGCATATAATTACAAAACTGAAAGGCTTGAGTTCTTTCTGTACCTTGCTCAAAACTATGCTCTGGTACACAGTGCCAGTGGGGTTTACAGAAAGAGCAAGGAATACAAAAAGGAGAGATAAAATTTCTTACAGGTAATATAAAAAGCTCCTAAATGATTATATTTTAGCTGTATAATAATGTGCCCGGAATAATAGATTCAATTTGAAAAAAGAAAGCTAATAAGCCCCTTAAAATTATTTCTTGACTTCATTTTGAGAGATATGCTTTGTTTCTACAGTAAGAATCACTTTCATCTTACCTCTGGCAGGCAGAATTCAGGCACAGAATCCACAAATACGTGACCTGAGCACTCTTTTAGCTCCTAAAAGGAACAAAAAGTAAAAAATTCTAGGAAGAGATACCCAACAGATACAGCACCAAAGAAACTTCATCCCCAAACCAAACTTTCCATGAAGAATCACAGACGTCTAGAGAGTTGGAAGGCAGCCGGAAGGTTACTCAGGCCAACTATTTTCCTGTTTAGGCTCAGGGAAGCTAAGTGTTTTACTCAGGATAAAAAACGCTGGTTAGTGGCTAACTCAGAATTTGGATGTACATTTCCTGATGCCTCTTCAAGGCATGTGCGGACATATGCTGCTTTCTAATTCATGATGCAGTGCTTTCCAATTAATAGTTATATAGCCCATACCAGCAATATCAGAATAATCTGGGAACACTGATGGAAGTAAAGATTCCTGGGTCATCTAAGACCCAAGGGATCAGAAATCTGGGGATGAGGCCAAGCACCTCTAGTGATTTTGTTATGCAGTCAGCTTGGGAGTCCTGGCCCTAGACTTACAGCCTCTTTCTCCTCCTACCAAAGGTTGAGGGGCAGGGGGCAAACAAGGAGGGAGATGAAGAGTAGAGGGTAGGGATTAAGCCACCACCATCGCCCTCACCTCCGTGCACATAATCTTTGTCCTTGCCGAGCAATTTATTTGGGGTTGTAAACCAAATGTACTCATTCAAAAGAAAAAAGTATACTTATATAGAACGAGAATATACTACAACTCCCCACTCTGCTCATGACCTACCATATTTAATATGTCTTAGTTTGGATTCCCTCACCAACAGACCTTGAGAAAAGGGTGAGTACGAGCTAACAGGGAAGTGCTGAAAAAAGAGCAGGAGGATGGGCAAGTGATAAAGGGAAAGGAAGGGGGCTGACAATGGATATGTTACTGAGCTACACACCACTGTGCACAGCTGGGACTTATTCCCATGGGAACAGAGTTCTTCGAGTTCTAAGAAATGGTGTCAAACATACACCTTGGAGTCACCATCCTCAGAGGCAAGCAATCTGGGATATTTACATGGCAACTCCTACATTTTGCGCAGCTTCAGGGAAAAAACTCTCTGGCAGACTCATACAGGTATTGGCAGCTGAAATTATGACAGAGCAACGCAAAGAAGAGGCACGAGAGGGCCACCAACAGGGGCTGCTACAATGCCTCCAGAAGGCCACTGGAGTTGCTGTCTTCCCTCGCTCATACTTTACATTGAAATCTGTGGAAGATTTTTTGGTTCATCAAGGTTAAATTTTTCTATGACTTTATATGGAAACCAGTAAAAGTCAGTGTTTGGTTGACAGTTTGCTCTTTCCAGAAAAAGAAAGATACCGTTAGAATTTTGTCCATCATGTTTCCATTAATCACTGAACATGTATTTCTACATAGTCCTATACATGTGTCTTTATATATTAGAGTCTGCATGGTTTTACTCTCAATCTTTATCTGAAATTAGGGTATTAACTATGTGTGATTTTCCTTTTGAATTTTACAAGTCTCATATCAGAACCTGATAGAAGACTTCCTCCCCTTGCCTTCCACTGTAATAAACTGGTTCCTCTTCTTATAGGACTACCATTTAAACAGTGAAAGACTGAGCCCAAAACGGACTGAAAACAGTTCTTAATTACAATGTACCTGCTAGCAAAAAACAAATGAGCAATTATGTTTAATGGGAGAGGACTCCCAACTCCCTTAGGATGAGGCTAAATATGATTAAAGACAAATCATGGGAAATTTCAAAGTCCTGCCTGGTCTTAAATTGGCTATGTAATCTTCTTCCCCATAATGCTACACATCAGGGCATGTCCACCTCACATGACAATGCCTTCCTGGCCTGGAGAAGCGTATTTGCCATTCCACGCACTTATAGTGTCCCTGTATTTTATTCACCACTCCCTTCTAATGAAATGCTCCCACATACACATGCAAGTCATTTTCGCTCACAATGCACTGGTAATGGGATGCTTCTGAGCCTTTCTCAGGGAACAATGATTTACAACCAGCAGGAGAGTTAGGCTGAAATCAGGTGCACAGGTTCCTGAATGTCACATAATTTTGCAGTTAGCTAGGAGGGAAATCTGGCTTCAAATTATGCATTTGGCCTGCACTGGAGGTTGGGGTGCAGCTTCAGAAATTAATTCTGTAAAAAGAGCATCTCTTTATTAATAATACCTATTACAAGAAGGAGATGCCTTAGGCGGATGATTCTTTTTAAGGGTCTTTGAATTTCTTCAGTTTTTCAATAGTGAAATTTGAGAGAGGAAGGATGATTTGGAGGACTAAGAATGGCATGCATGAGCTTTACAGTTCTTAACCTTCCTTTACCTCTGATTTTTTTTAGTAGAAAATATAACTAGATGATAGTTTTAACATTTTTGTACCTTTGGTCTCTGATTTGTAAATTAACTGCCTAAAAACTGATCTGAAGAAGGAATTACCGTGAAGATAATCTAATGTCAAAAATTTAACAGCCTCGGAAGAAAATTTATTTATGTCATTTACTGTAGGCCTAGTCAGTGATTAAAGTCAAAATAGAACCCCAAATCCTAGGTTCCTAGAACTGTGCTCTTTGTTCATGACCTATATAAGGCTGTCCATTCTAGGCTACCAGGAAAGGTTGGAATAAGATGATAGTTCATAGTTTAGAAGGCCCTCTATTTAAATTTACCCACGAACATGTTTTCCCTCCTACTCCCCCAAGAACACATTGCCTGGGAAGTTAAACACTGGCTTTGCAGTCTGTTCTGCACATGGCAGCCAGAGTGATCTGATCAGATAATGACGCTGCCCTCCTTCCATGGCCTCTCCTCACCCAAAGAGTAAGAACCAAACTTTTCTCAAAGCCCTACCTTACCTAACTGCTGACAGAAACAGTTTAAAACTCACATACTTGAGGATTTTGAAGTTGTTTTTTAAAAAAGTTTTACTCCTTCCAGTCATGGAGTCAGTACAGCCTGAAAATAGAACGAACTGGATGGAACTCTCTATAGGCATTACCTTTGAAACTCTCATCGCACTGCTAAAAATAATAGTTTTCTTTCTGTGGTGATAAAATGTATTTGCAGCAGAAGTTCTTAGATTTTTACACACGAGCAAATTGGACCTGAATCTGAACACTGAGATTCCCTAAAAGGCTCTTAAAAATAATCACCACGTACTGAAGACCCTACATGGATCTTGGGATTTTTTTCAGAGAATACAAAGGGAAAAAAATGACCCCATCCATCACATTACTATAGGGTGGCTCTGGTATGACAAGATGGCTTTCCACTGGGTGTAGATATGCCTCAGTTATTATTACCTTGTCCAAGAAAGCATTTCCATCCTTTAGGGACCAGCCAGGAAGATTAGACAGCCTGGGACTGCAAAACAAAAGATTAAATTATCCTAAATAGATTATAGTCCTCAGTGATTTCATGATGACTGTATCATCTCCGTAAAGTTAAAAACAGTTTGAAATTACTGGCAGCAATGTCCACCCAAAATACTAATCGAAAAGATGAAAAATAACCATGTTGTAACAAGCTTAAGAATTACGTGGCAACGGAACATTAAAAAGCCAAGTAGTTTAGTGCTAAATTGGGAAAATTAAAAGACTCCTATGCAGAATAATAAAGAGAAAAAAGAAAGATGAGACACTAAAACATTTTATAGTTTGGTTCCAGTGACTGCCCCTGACTTCACCTTGCTTGTGCTTGACAACAAGCCTGAGGGGAGGGCTGAACGGGATCATCATAGTGTGGATGAGAAAACAGACTCAGCGGGGTCAGGTGCTTTGACAAGAACACTGAATTCACTGCAAATAAAAATACCTGAATTCCAGTCAAGTCCACATTCCAGATTCACCGCTTATAAATGCATTAGTCACTTCTCACCTGTGGCTTGGGTTTCCAATTCTGGAAAATGAACCTAGTCTTCCTAAGCATTACAAAATGACAGCATATGTAGGTGAATAATTTTTAGAAGATGAGGCTAATTTCATATATATGTGAAAAAATCTAGATTCAGAAATCATTCACTCCCGGTAATCTCAGGATTTGAGTTGACTAGAAGAATTATGCTGAAGGATGAAAATGCAAATAACGTAGGGGAAAAATGCTGATATAAAGAAAAACTTAATGACCAAGGTGTTATGTGAAGAAAAGCACATCTAAGTACAAGCTGGATGGCAAGAGGATGTTAGTTAGCACTTCATCCCAAAATCAGTCTGTAAAGTAAAAATTAAGGGCAAAGTAATAGCATGGGACTAAAAGACTCTATATTAGAAATCAAATTAGTATACAGTCCCTCATCCTCTTGCCAAAATAGTTTTATCAAGTTTAGATTTTGTAGTTAGATGAAAGGGTATGAAAATCAAATAGAAACAAAAATATTGTGAATATTTTCCAAATTTCTCAGAAATGTTAAGAACTTGAGTAAAATATACATTCATCTAATTTTAGAAAAAAATAAGAATTTGGCGATAACTTTTAATTTTGACATAATTCCAAACTTACAGAAAAGTTGTAAGAATGTAAGGATAATGAATTCCCTAAAATATACATTCATCTAATTTTAGAAAAAAATAAGAATTTGGGGGATAACTTTTAATTCTGACATAATTCCAAACTTACAGAAAAGTTGTAAGAATGTAAGGATAATGAAGTCCCATATGCCCCTTGCCTCTACTCTCTGTTTACATTTTGCTTTTATTTATCAAAAAGTGAGGATTTTGGATTTCACACTTGGGAATGAAAATTACTAGTAGCAGAATAAATTTGGTTTGTATAAATTATACCTGATAGGCTTGTTTTTTAAACTTTGGGAGCTGTCTCAGAAAAATATTCTATCATTAGCTGTTTAATTCCCATCTCATTTCATAGTTACATGTATGTTTTCACTTCTAGACTTGTTGAAAAATATATTTACTGTCAGATCAAATTAAAAAACCAAGCACTCAAATGAAAGTATGACAAAACAATGTGAATACTGTTCTCATTTCATGCACACTAACCCTCTAAAGGAAGGTTGTGAATATCCACTTCCCTTTATGAAGAGACCTGGATCACAGGACATGTATTCTGTCTGTTTCCCCATCACATACACACAAATCAGCCTTCAAATTACAGATGACTGATTCAGTTAGTTGTCTACAACAAATGATTAGAATGGTACACTGCTTATCAGACAATAGTTTTTTAAAAAGTAAAGTTTTCAGATGCTGTAGGTTTGTTTTTTTTAAAGATTTTATTTTTAAGTAAACTCTACAGCCAACGTGGGGCTCGAAATTACAACCCAGAGATGAAGAGTCACATGCTCCTCCAACTGAACCAGCCAGGAGCCCCTCAGATACTGTAGTTTTAACTCCTGTTAAATGCTTTTTTTTTTTTTTAAAGATTTTATTTTTTGTTTTTTGACAGAGAGAGACACAGTGAGAGAGGGAACACAAGCAGGGGGAGCGGGAGAGGGAGAAGCAGGCTTCCCTCGGAGCAGGGAGCTGGATGCGGGGCTCGATCCCAGGACCCTGGGATCATGACCTGAGCCGAAGGCAGACGCTCAATGACTGAGCCACCCAGGCGCCCTAAATCCTGTTTTAATAACATCAAAGCCTTCTATAAAACACCCGTAGTTATTCTGGATTTGAGAAATTGCCAGTAGATGGGACTGATTGCTCAAAGAAGAGCAATGACCATGTTATAACAATAGTGCCAAAGATGAAGTGCCACAGAAATGTGTCACCAAATAGCAAAGGGATGCTGACTACAGAGATAAAAATATTTCGTTACTGAGTTCCACTCAGTTAATGACTAACTCATAGAGTCAGTATACTTTAAGCTACCAAAGGGAAAGGGATTTATTATGTTGCTCTTTTATTACAGAATTTGTGTACATTTTTTTTTAGAGAGAGAGAGAGAGCGCACACGAGCATGCATGTGCATGTGGGGTGTGGAGGGGCAAAAGGAGAGGGAGAGAGAGAATCTTAAGCAGGCTCCACACCCAGTGTGGAGCTGACGCAGGGCTTGATCTCATGACCCTAAGATCATGACTTGAGCCGAAACCAAGAGTTGGACGCTCAGCTGACTGTGCCACCCAGGCGCCTCTGACTCTGTGAATTTTTTCAAAAAAGGAGACAGAAGTCTCTACAGAAATCTAATAAAATATGGGAGGTGAAGATAATAGAAAAATTATGATTATAGATGAAACATCTTTCCATCTCCTATTTAACAATAATTTCTTAGAAAAAAAATGCCATTAAAAATGTTATAGTCAAAAAACACATGTATACAAGATCTGCTATTTATTTTATATTATTGAAGTATAGTTGACAGAGATATATTAGATTTAGGTATACAACATATTGATTTGGCAATTCTATACATTACTAAATGCTCACTACGGAAACTGTAGTCACCGGATATCACCATACATTATTACAATATTAATAACTATATTCCTTATGCTGTACTATTCATCTCCGTGACTTTTACCTATACCTCTTAATCCCCTTCACTTATATTTTAAAAAAATAGGTAAAATATTCCCATAAGTAAATAAATAACCTAAGGCATTTAAAAGTAAGCTATTGCCTAAAAAAATAGTGAGAGGTAAAAAAAAAAAAAATAGCGAAAGGTAGAACAAACATGATATGCAATTCATTTTCTCCTTCTACTTTTCATTTTTCCACCTTCCTACTGAAGGTTGAAATGCATTACTTTTATAATCAGAAAAGAATGTAAGAGGCATGACTACCTTTATTCATTCAAAAAATATTTATAAAAGCTTACTCTGAACAAAGTATACAAAGTGCAAGGCTATGACACTACATAAAATAATCCTTGAGTTTCAGCAGTGCGCACTTTAGTAGAGGGAGATGGTCAACAGCAATTACAACAGAATAAAATAAAAGCTATGATGGGGTAAGCAGAAGTGTTATGGGTTCACACAGAAAGGGCATCTTTGCCAGCGTAGGGTGTTGTGGGAGAGCTGGGAATAGGAGTTAGGAGGTGAGGGCAGAGGAGGTGTTTCCATAAAGAGGGCACAGGGAGGGAACAGCCTCAACATGTGGTAACAGTGCTGGAGGAGAATGAGCTGTTCACTTTCAGTAATGAATCTCTATTTATGTGTCAGGCATGCAGTTACTGGTGCTGTGACCATGAACAAAACATACCTGTCCTGAGTAATCACACAAAGAGAGTACAAGATGTTAAAAATGATGATGCAGTCTAGTACAAAGTTCCCTAAAGAGGGACTGGTCAAGGCAGCATCAAAAGACTTCTCTGGGTCTATGATGATTGAGGTGAGATCTGGACAGTTCTAGATTAAAGGGGAAACTGAGTCAAACGGCAGGGTTTGGAAGGAACAGAGAAAGACAGCTACAAGGCCCATACTTTCCTCCAGTCATTCTGACCAGTCTTTGGTATGGACATCTTACATAAAAGGTTATTCAAATGAAGCTTCAAGAAGAGGCCCACTTATACTCTCCCCCCTCATCCAACCAGAACGCTCCCTCTATGGCCTTCCTATATAGAAACTGGAGGCATAAAGGCTCTTGATAAGTAGGCTAAGGGAAGGACGGATGGGGGAGGGGGGAAAAGAGCCTTTATGGCTGAAGGAAAAATTTGTGTGACTGCACCCAGGCAGGAGATAGGATTTCTCTGAAACTGAAAGGAAATAAAAAATGAGATACTAGAGGGGTGGGCATAAACCATAATATACCAAGATGAACTTGGTATTTATCGTAAGAGCAATGTAAACCACTGAAAGGTTTTAAACAGGTGAGAGACAAGATTAGATGTATATTTCTAAAAGATGATTCTGAAGAAAATGTGCACTCTGATAATATATGCCACTATTTGTGTGGTATTCCTATCAAAATAATCCCAACCTAAATATGAGGAGATATCAGACAAATCCAAACTGAAAGTTGTTATATAAAATAATTAGCCCATACTCCTAAAAATGACAAGGTCATAAAGACAGACTGTGAAACTCTTCCAGATTAATGGAAACTAAAGACAGGACAACTAAATGCAATGTGTGATCTGGACTGGATCCTGGACCAGTATTGCTGTTCTTTTTTGCTATAAAAGGCATTATAGTGAAATATGAATTGATGTAACTTGGGAAATATGAAAAAGGTATTCAGCTTAGATACTAGCATAGTGTCAGTGTGAGCTATTTTGATTCACTGATTTTGATTATTGTACTGTGGTTATGTAAAATAATTTCCTTTTTCTTAGCAAACAGGCCCTCAAGTATTTAGGTGGTAAAGGAGCATCCTGTCTGTATCCTTCAAATGGGTCAGAAAAAATTGTATGCATACGTATCAAGAGAAAATCATAAAGTACATGTGATAAAATATTAACAAGGGTAATTGGGAGTTGTCTGTACTATTCTTGCAACTTTTCTGCAAATCTGAAATGATTTCAAAATAAAAAAGTTACACAAAAAGGGCTCTGGATTCAGACGAGGGCAAGGTCAGAACTAAAGAAACTGACTAGGAGGCCTTGACAGTAATGCCTATAAAGTTAGTCATGCCTACAGCAGGACTAAAGAGAAGTGACTGGATTCTAGAGTGTTTGGAAGGTAAAAATAACAAGGCTTCATGAAAGATTGGATATGGGCAATGAGAAAGAGTGGCATATCTAAGTTAACTCCCAGTTTTCTGGCTTTCATATCAGCATGCCAGTCACTAAGATAGGGTACCGTGGAGAAAACGAGGTCTGGGAGGGTTTTCTCTCCTCTTCGGAATGAAGTCTACTCATGGACTCAGTTTGGGGCATGCTGAGTTTTGAAGTGCCTTCAAAGCCACATCCAAGGAGAGAAACTCAGTAGGCGTTTGTGTATATGAATTTGGAACTCAGAAGAGAATTATTAAATAAAGATACACATTTGTAGCTTATTGTTTAGATGGTTATCAGAGCCCTGAGCACTTAGGAAATCACCTTGGTGGAGACTCTGATGGCCAAGCACTGGATATTGAAGAATTCTGGTATGTGACTGTTGTTAGAGAAAGACGAATCTCCCAAGTATCTTAGATAGAAGAGGAAGAGTTAGAAAAAAGGTAAACCAGGAATGCATGATCCTGGAGGGCAGTTCTGCCAAATGGCCAAGTGGGATGAGAACTGACAAACATGCCTCTAGTGACACAGAAGTCATTTGTGACTCTGGCGAGCGGTGTTCTGGTAGGTGATATGGGCAAAGCATAGATTGGAGAGGAGTTAGTAATGCTGAAGGGGAAAGTGGAGTCGAGAGAAGGTTAAAAAAATTTTTTAAAATATTAAGTTAGAAGTAACTGAGCATAATTAAATGAGAAGAATTGAATCAAGGTGGAAAGGTTCAAGATAAAAGAAAGATTCAAGATAAAAGAAAGATTACAATTAATAGCGAAATTGCTCTCAAGAAGGGTTGGAATCCAGAGAAGATAAAAGGATTCATTCATATGATAAATCTTTACTGAGTAGCTACTACATGCCAAGAACTATTTTAGGCACTGGGGATTCAGTGGAGAACAAAAAAATCCCTGCCCTTATAAAACTTTTAGTGGAGAAGATAGGTAATACATAAACTAAATAGGTATATATAATGTAAGGATAAGTGCTATGAAGAAAAATAAAGCAGGATGAGGGGTTAGGGAGGGACTGGGGGTACTATTTTAGCCAAGTGTTATCTCCAAGGTTTCTGGCCTGAGCAACAGAAAATACTTTTTGTAAGGAACTATATATGGGCTGCCAATCATCCCACTAGCATAACCTCCCTCTGAAAGAAGAACAGTGATAAGGGGAAGAGAGTGGAAGTGGATTCCAGTGCTGAGTCAGGGCTGTGAGAACACAGAATTAGGTAAAGACAAGAATAAGCAGGAAAGGGAAAATATGCAGCTAGAATTGTCTGCCCAATTCAGGACTGGAGCAGCAAGATAACTCATGACCTTGCAGTGTGTGTAGGCCCCCCTTAGGAAACTCTCATAATACCTTATTTTTAAGTTTTTTAGTAATTATCACAAGTATGTAGTTGTTCTCTTAAGTATAATGAAATCTTCGACTGTGGAATACTTTCTCCCCAACAGACTATAAGCTCCATGAGGAAAGGAAAGTTGTCTTATTCATGTCTGTATCCCCGGTCCGGCACAGTGCAGATTCTTAATAAACACCAAATAAATGAACATTGTAATGTCTGGGGGGGAAACAGGCAATAAAAATATCAGGCTATTTTAGTAAGAAATAACCTGTCAGTCATTTTTTACAGAAATATATGTGATACCTACAGTTTCTGAAGCAATTGTAAATATATATAGATAGATAATATCTGTGGATAATAAATGTATTTCTAAGTGTTGGGTATGACTATAAGTGAATTTTATCAGCTTTGCATAAAATGTAATCTGGAATTATCTCTGAATTCTCTCTGTCCCCTTTACCTTATTGTATCCTTTATCTCAGAAAAAAAAAATCAAAGGTTGAGTTTTAATTATACTTTTTCTAGAAGATTATCATTATGAATAATCATTGCACACAGTGATGTCTTCAGGAATGAATGAGATATATTAGATGGTTTGCCCAGGTTGCTATGCTTTTAAGCTCTTAAATCTGCTTTAGATAGATTTTCTGTCTCTCCTATGTGATATCACTTTTTGTTACTGGGAATGTATTTGCTTCTGTTAGTTACCCACCTCTCTTATAAATTGCTGTTTTCAATTAGCAGCAAGCTGGGAAACCAATTTCTTAGCCAAAGTCATAGTAAGAGTAAACAGTGGTGACTACAGACTTTGGGTAATCTATCTGCTTTAAGACAAGGACTTTAGCTTCATATATGATTCTATGATATCTATAGTTATTATGAAAATAACACATAGATACCTATCAAAAAGAAATGTCAGGCTCTATGATGTCAAGTCCCTGCAAAGGCAATTAAATGATTCTAAAATCCAATTCTTGGGCTCATCAGTTGACCATTTATCAGCTCTTACATGAATTAGCAAGAAAGATGAAATATACATGACCTCACTTGCATGGAGCAGTTGCAGGAACATTTTACAGACGCTCAGAAGAAGTTATAATAAAGAAGTCAATCAATAAATCAATACAACACTTTCCATCAACCCAGTCAAAGTAAATAATTCTGATGAAGAACATTTTTAAGGGAACAAAGTAAACTAAGGACAATACACAAGGTACTGGTAATCTTTATGCTAATCGGTACAATTTTTCAGCAAACTAAAGCTCATTTTGTCCCAGATACAGCAGCACGTACCTTTGAACAAGTGGCAAAGGAAGGAAATTGAGAGTGGAAGTCATGTCCAGTCCACAGTCCAACATAATGGTAGTTGATTTGAATTTGAGCACATTGCACGGTAAGGTCGGGTGCCCTGACAGGCAATACTGAAAAAAATTAAATCATTTTTATCAATAATCAGTTACAGAAAAAGTCTAAAAAGTACAGTGAATTAAGTGGAACTGATCATCTTCTCTTATAAAACAGCATGTAAATCCAGCTAATTTTCTATGCAGCTTCTGGATACTACTTCCCTCAGCAGTTCAAAAGTCTCAGGTCATAATTTTTCGTAGGGCACCAAGTTCTATCTCAGGCAAGCACAGTTTTGGAGGGACCAAAGTTATTGCAAGTAGAAAGTTTACAGGGTTTAGTTATCTGCCCCCCTCTCACATGACACTTCCAAATCGCCAGTATCCCACTGTACCTAAGTACTGCCTAAAGCTGTAGAGGTCAATTAAGTTCTAAGCTGGATCCTCAAATGGTGTTACAGGTTAGGTTTTCTTCTGTGAAGAGGTCAAGCGATTTTCCTCAAAGAGGAAGTAACTGGAAAGGGTTAATAAGCCAAGTATCAGTAAGGAGTTACGGCCCATCCTTGTCAGAAGAAATGACTCTAAAGGACAAGTGACTTCCCTGATGTGCAGATACTTAGGCAGGAGTGAGGGACACCTACTCCCAACCAATCAAGAGTCGCTTGCCTGTGGCGGCAGACCTCAGAAGTCAAAGGGGCACAAACCACAGTGGCATATTCAAAGGAGAGTGATGAGGCAAGACAATACACTGACCTTGAACATTTCTCATGTCCTCCTCGATGTAGTGGGGATGACAGATATGCCACATTGAAAATTATTTATATGGGATGTACCCTGTCACCTTTCATAATTCTATTGCTGCTCTGAAGAAAAGAAATGAAAGAGGGAAAAAACCTTTTCCCCCACTTTTAAAGTCATCCTGTAGAAGCCTCCCTTGAACAGCAAAGCCCAGAAAATAGGGGGATCAATGTTCTCAATCCCTCAACAAGTACAGTCTCTCTTTCTGATTTAAGTACAAGTCCAACACAAGTCAGTGTAATGTGACATCAATGCCTGGCCCCACATGGCCACAGTAGCTCAGGCTGTCTTTCTAGGTATTTGCTGCTCTGTTGGTTCTGTCACTGGATGAATTTCCTCCTTTTCTCCAGAGGATATTACAGGGGCTGATGATTTTTTAAAACTGCATGTTCTAAAAATGATAAGGACCAGAGCCAAGAAATTGTGGTTATTCTGTAAGCTTTTTCTTTATTCCAAGTTTATGTATGATGACTATATTTTCCAAACCAAAATTCACAACTCATGGTCTGAATCGGTACAAGATAACTTGCAAAGAAAACATCACAAGTTATTTAAAATTGTAATTGTCCTAAAAAAAAGTCCAGGAAGCATGATTTGGGTAATTCGACTTTACGTAAGTTCATTCTTTGATAGGTATCAGAATTACAGAAAAAACTGTCCTACTAATTAAGACAGAGATATCCCTACCCCCATCCTCCATCTGGTTCCTTATTGCTAGCTTGGTCTTTCTCCCTATATAAGAATCAATTTTTGAAGGTAAACTATCTCAAAACAAACACAAAACATCGTATTAAATTTGCCCCCAAAATAACAAACGTTCTAATAAGAGCTTTCCTATATTTCTCCTTTAAAAAAATCAGTTATTCAGAAAAAATTAAAAAGAAATGAAATGTATAATGGTTACTTCTAAGTGGAAAGATTATGGTATAATTTTCTTCTTCCAGCTTTCTGTATTTTCCAAATGTTTGACAATGACCACTTACTATATTTTTATATGGGAAAAAAAAGATTAAAACAAAACTGAAAATTTTTCAAGCCACACTGAATGACAAAGCTTTTCTTCATCCTTAACTCTAAATTATAGATAACAAGTTATGCTAGAAGATCGTCATGTAAAAGCTGCTACTCAAAAGAAGTTAGCTGAAGACTTTAGATTTGCTCTTGTCACGCAAGGATAAAGAAAGGTGAGGAACACTTTATAAGGGCTGTACCTGCATGGAAGGAACATTTTCAGAGCCTCTACTAAAGGAGTGCCAGACCTTGATCTCACTAGCTCCATTTTTATGAATGAGGAAATTGAGCTTTACAAAGTTGGAGCCACCTGTCTAATAGCCAAAGACACACAGCAAGGTCCCCTGACTACAAAGATTCCACTCATGTTTTGCAAATTGCACTGCTCACTTCATGAGTCAAATGAGTCAGCTGAGAGGCTGACTCACTGGCCAAGGTTCATACAACCAGTAAATGAGGTACCTGCAAGGTGCTCGAAATTTGCTTGTGTCCAGTGATGCTCTTTTTAAACCTGCAGCTTATAATCTAGTGAGGGTTAGGAGATGAATGCACAAAACCAGTAAGTAATCATGTGACTTAAATCTTAAAATTAGGAATAAATCTATTTTACAAAAAGCTTGAAAAACAGCAGAAAGAAAACTATCACCCACAACATTGTTCTATTCCATCTTCTTTTTTAAAGATTTTGAGAAAGAGCGACAGAGAGCATGAGCGAGGTGAGGGGCAGAGGGAGAAGCAGGCTCCCTGATGAACAGGGAGCCGGATGCAGGGCTTGATCCCGGGACCCCAGGATCATGACCTGAGCCAAAGGCAGGAGCTTAACTGACTGAGCCATTCAGGTGCCCCTCCATCTTTTTTCATATTTGTAAAAGCTGTAATTTTAGTGCAGATACAGCTGTGTGCTGCTTTGAAAGCTCAAGATGACTGTGTTTTCTTTGTCTATGTTGCATCACACTTCATTTTTATTGGCTGCCTAAGTAAATATACCATGGTGTGTTTAATCATTCCTTTACTGAGAACATTTAGGGTTGCTTCCAGTTGCTCTATTACAAACATAGCTGTGGTGATCACTTTAGTGCTTACGGCTTTTTCCATATTAGACTATTTCTTTAGAGGATTCCCAGAAGTGGCATTAACTAGGTCAAAAAATATGAGCATTTTATGGCTCTTGAAACATGCTGCCAAAATGCTTTCCAAAAAAGGCTGTACCTATTCACAATGTCATCAGTTATATATCAGAAGATCTGTTTCACTGCTTATTCCCATCAGCATTATGGTCCCATCAGCATTATGGTCAAAGCCGTCTAGAATCTATACTAAAATGAAGCTGTAATGTTAGTAGTAGCTATCTTGAAGCAATTAAATGGCCCTACACAGGAAAGTCAACTACTTGATACATGGCTTTCATTTTGAGAGGGAGTTTGGAGAAATGATTTAAAAAGCAGGGGTTTGAAGACTGCCTGGGCTCAAATCCTGAGTGAGCTCATTATTAATGTGTGATGTGGGGAAAATCACTTCCCTTTGCAAAGACTGAGTTCCCCCATCTGTAAGATGAAGTAATAGAAACTACCCTCCTGAAGTTGGGAGGTCTGAATGATGGAAACAGTGCCTGACCTGTAATATGTGTTCACCGCTAGTTGTTACAGAAATATTAAGGGCCCAAAAAGGCAACCTACACTGGGGGGCCACCTAAGTTTACAGCATTTTAGGGAAGAAATTCTATTCTTTAGTAGCATTCACTAATGTCTTAGACACTTGCATATCCCACAGACTAGGTTAAGTGAGTGAACAATTTTATAAATACTGTCTATTGCTAATCTTCCCTCTAGGAAGACACAGTCACACTACTGAGTACAGAAGTGAGTAGTCTAGCCAACATAAGGTTTTATAATTTTTTTCTAGCTTAATAAAGACACAGCAAGGCTTTCATGTTAAATTTATTCCTAACTAATAACAAAGCTGCAGGTTCTTCTGTGTAATGATTTATTATCAACATTTCCTTGTCTGCCCGTTGATCTCCTTTTTCTACCGAATAAATGGAATGTGGTTACGGAACTTATATATATGTTTGACATATATAAGCATTGTATTTTTGGACAAAATTTTTTTCAGTTAAACATACTATATATCTTTCCTATTCTTTTACTTTAATTAAAAAATTGTAGGAAATTTCAAACATACAAGTAAGCAAAATTAGTATATCAAACGCTCATGACTCAAAACATGCATAAATTTAACAACTACCAGTTGAAAATAGAGCTACCATACGATCCAGCAATTGCACTACTGGGTATTTACCCCAAAGATACAAATGTAGGGATCCGAAGGGGTACGTGCACCCCAATGTTTATAGCAGCAATGTCCACAATAGCCAAACTGTGGAAAGAGCCAAGATGTCCATCGACAGATAAATGGATAAAGAAGATGTGGTATATATACACAATGGAATATTATGCAGCCATCAAAAGGAATGAGATCTTGCCATTTGCAACGACGTGGATGGAACTGGAGGGTGTTATGCTGAGTGAAATAAGTCAGTCAGAGAAAGACATGTATCATATGACCTCACTGATATGAGGAATTCTTAATCTCAGGAAACAAACTGAGGGTTGCTGGAGTGGTGGGGGGTGGGAGGGATGGGGTGGCTGGGTGATAGACAGTGGGTAGGGTAGGTGCTACGGTGAGCACTGTGAATTATACAAGACTGATGAATCACGGATCTGTACTTCTGAAACAAATAATGCAATATATGTTAAGAAAAAAAAGAAGAAGATAGCAGGAGGGGAAGAATGAAGAGGAGTAAGTCGGAGGGGGAGACGAACCATTAGAGACGATGGACTCTGAAAAACAAACTGAGGGTTCTAGAGGGGAGGGGGTGGGGGAAGGGGTTAGCCTGGTGATGGGTATTAAAGAGGGCACATTCTGCGTGGAGCACTGGGTGTTATGCACAAACAATGAATCATGGAACACTGCATCAAAAACTAATGATGTAATGTATGGTGGTTAACATAACAATAAAAAAATTATTTAAAAAAAAAAAAGAAAAAAAAATTTAACAACTACCCATTCTTTCTTTGCTGCTTTTCTTTTGATATTGACACATTTCAGGAGAATAGCTATTATGGTAACAAACTTAAATGATCTCTGAAATTACTGTTTTTGTAAATAGTCCTAAATTAATCTCTTATCCATAACTGGGACAAAAACATAAGTCAATTTTCCTCAATGCCCTAGCAAAATTCATGAAAGGTGATTCCTTTCACCTCTAA